AGGCAATAGTTCTGCTCTGTTATGGACAGAGGACAGAAGGGAGGGGGCCTCATAACTTCTTCTCTGAGCTGGTTATTTCGAGATCTGACCCATTTAAAGAGCCTGGAGAAGCAGCAAGCACAGGTGCATACGTAATTATATACATTAAGTGTCAAATCTGATTTGCACATGCAATTTGATGGACGGAAGTGCAAACTATGCAGGATCTTAATGACAGTGGTTTTTCCTCGTCGAAAAGGAATAACCAAGTGTTTGAGAGTCATTCTTTTATTAAGAAAAAAAAGAAATGCCAGTGTCAGTCTACAATTCAGATTTTTATTCAGCTCTCACACGATGGATGGATCTTTGAATGGGAAACACTGGCTGTTGCAGCTATTATACACAACATACAGCCCTGCACAATTAGTGCAACTCAGTACTACTTTGCATTGTGCGTCTGTGGGATGGAGAGCAGAGAGCTATCCAGAAGGACCTCATTGATTCGTCCTCAGCGAGGCACAAAAGATTTGTTGTCCGTCCAGTCTTGAATAGCTTGTTCTTAATGACAGTCCTGCATTATAAAACCTCCTGCTGCCCTCAGTCACTGTTTGAAAATCTGATGAAACTGAGCCAGAGCAGTTTGCTCTGACTGTAATATTCCTGTGTTCTGTTTCTGTGCAGTTACGTAACTGTATCATTGTCACAATGCTCAACCACAAATAATTCACACCACCGGGAGTGGAGGAAAGAAAGTGCACGCAGCAAAGGGCTTGTTTTAAATGTGTTTCCCCTTTAATAAACTGCACACATGACTGAGTGATTCCTGAGCCAAGATGGCAGATGATGAGGGATGAGAGAGGAGTGTGTACAGTAAAGATTTAATTAAAACTCACCATGGGATGTCTTACTGTGATTCCAGAGACGGGTACAGAGGAGTTTGTGTTTGCTCGCTGCAGCTGTGAATAATATCCACACTATTCTTACTATGACCTAGATGAGGCTCACAGAGTGGAGGATGTGAGGGTGAGCCCACGTGAACACAAGTCTCATTTCCACCGTGAGGCTGCTGCAGGGCTTCTCCTTATGCCAAACCTTATGTTAACTTTACATTGTCAATCTCTGCTGGAGGAAATCTGGGACATGAGAGACATCCATACTGCCAGTTTTCCAATAAACCAACACTTGATAGAAAAGACTGCACATTCACATCCCTCCTGATGGTGCGTCTGCAGAATGACCATTTGCCAGGAACAATTTCACCTCCTCTTGTCCTCATGACGTAGATTTTTACGGTCTCCATGGAAGACTCCCATCAGCACTTTACTTCATTCCCTTTGAAATCAGCTCGGTTTCTTTTGCTCCTACTCAGTGTGGGTTGCCATGGATACTTCTCCCAAATGGTTTGGCGTGCACATGAATTTGTTTGAGTGTTACTCGGAGTGGCCTAAAACGTTCTTTTTTGTGTGTCTGCAGCCAATGTAAGCACAATTGGCAAAACAAGCACGGGGAAATCACAATTCAACTATTATTTTTGTTCTATTTTATTCTTCTCTTTTGAGATGTAGGCCACCTCTTCAGGGGATGATTATGAAATCCCTACTATTACACACCTTGTACAACATGCAGTATCAGCGACATGAGGACACTGGTAAGAGTTTTCTAATAAGTCAAGTGCATGCAGGAAAAAAAAACCTAACAATCCGCTGAATTTAATCTAGTCTTATCCTCCAGGAATCAAAGCTGCACCAGTGTTGCTCTTCACTTGCCCCGTTGAGCCAAAAGAGCATCCAAATACTTCACTTGGCTGCATCTAAAGCCTCAAAAAAAAAAAAACAGGCCGTCTGAGTGGTGTGTGCCCTGCATGAACTGCCACAACTGTAAACTGCGTCTGGGGTCTGGAAAGATGAAGGAAAGGATTCAGCGGTTTAATTTGTTGAGGGCTTAATCAGGGTTCATTTGGGATTAAGGGAAGACTGGGTGCATCTCCCTCTGAGTCGTTGGAGTCACCACTGCCTATAATACGGAAGCCTTAAATGGACATGCATCAATACATTTTACTTACTCCATTTTCCCATGATCGCAAGTCATTTCTGTTTGTTTTCTAGAGGTCTTGAGTTTTCTATCTTGGTATCTTGAGATAACAACGCTGGTTTTCCAAGATAACAAGTTCATTTGTTTTATCGAGGCCTCTGCTTATTTTTATGATTATCTCGGGACAACAAAGCTAGTTTTTTCCATAATAACATATTCATTTGTCATATCATCATATTGAGATAACAAAGCTTGTTTTCTTGTTATAATTTTCTGGCGATCTAGTAGAAAAAAAACAATAGGCTGGTCACTGTGAAAGGCCAGACCAGAACATGACATGCTGCCATTGCCCACACTAAAGGTAAGAGGTAAGTGAAGCCTATTTCTATGTTTGTTTTGCACTTTTGCAACTCTGGAAATAAGAGACAGATAAATGGAGGTCTCAAGGTTATCACAGGAAAGTAAATAAAACTTATGGATGCATGTCCACTTAGGGCTTCCATACTTTAACTCCTCTCTGAATCAGAGCATCTACATGTTTCATACAGGGCATGAGAGGGTCCTCTAAGAGCTGAAGGAACCTCCCACATGTAGATGTATGTCTAATCCTGGCTGTGTGAAATATTAACCATAGGGAGCAAAAGGAAACATCCTTGGCTCTCCTGGGGATTTCTTGTAAAACACGAAAAATTCTGAAATGTGATTTCCACTCTTTCCTGTTTAATGTGCTTTCCTTGCTTCCTCTCACATATCATTACAATCCAAAACAACTGAGGCTGAACGTTGCTTTGTAATAGGCTGCCACACTAGCTATTTTAGGCCGGACTTTGTAAGCAGGGGCCTTGGCTGTGTGTGCATCCCCGCATCTCTTATGTAATTCCCTTGGATGGGAACACAGAAAGACCAGAGAGAAAGTTTGTAGAGAATCGCTTAATCTAACATGGAGTTAATAGGCGACAGCTGGAGAACTGAGGGTTGTTTAATGTGCCAGCATGAGTGTAGGAACAAAGCAGAACGTCCGGGTTCTTCCTTATGGCTCATTATGGCTGATACGTCAGAGCAGCGTGTAGCTTGTTTGAGCAGTGGAGGCAGCATTGTGTTGTGATGTTGTTACTTTGTGGTTGTAGAAGCCTGATTGATTCCTGTCACAGGGGCCTATAATCAACACAGAGCTATTGATTTCCTCTCTGCAGAGCCTATACGAGGTGCCTAAGACACCTGCTAGCAGCCAGCTGACAGACACTCATGCCTGCTCACCAACAGCTGACACAAACTGATGCCAATGCACCGTGCTGAAGAGGGTGAGTCACACACGCTCAGATAGATCCCACTCTCAGGGAGGCTGGATGCGGCACAATGTGAGATCCACTGTACTGTCGGTCTGAATCATGTCTAATACACGTGGTGTGTCACAGATGGAGGCGAGGGGTTTTTGTAACTGAGATACAGGAGTAAAGATAATAAAGAGTGATGATCATTGTCTGTGCTTGAGCGGTGTTGCGCCAGATTTTCATTAACAACGGGTTCTGTCAAAAGCAAAGTATCATCACCATCTTCAGCATCATCAGTACAGTTGGTCTGTGGTGATTTCTATCTGCCCTCAAAGTGCTTTTGTAAGCAGTTTTCCAGCAGCAGTCACATGCTCCGCCGGGCAGGGCTGAGGCTCACAGCCAGCTGTCCCCATCATCAATTCAAACAATGCAGGAGGCAGAGGCGAGGTGAGACTTGAGAGGTGAGACTGGGGCAGATGTGTAATAATAATAGCACATAATGTAACTTATCTGTAACCTTGGAAGAGTGAAGACAACAAAGACAGTGTGCAGAGAAGAAGAAACACTTGTTGTATCATAATCATGCTGTATTATGGAATACAATGTCTTGCATAAATATTTACCCTCAACTTGTCCACATTTTACACTCTTACAACCGACTCCAACTTTTTTGGGACTTTAATTTTTATGCAACAGTAGTTAAAAATAATCTGTTGGATGCACCAGTAACAACGAAGGAAATGTGTTGCACTTGTTCTAAGTGAGAAGCTTAAAGCACTCAAATCTTTTTGAAAAATAAGATTTGAATATTGTAGTCTCTCCTGGCATTGTAGGTCATTGTGTGTTGGTCCATTAGTACACAACCCCATAAAAGATATTTTAACATGCAGCTGTAACAGTGGCGACATATGGAAAAGTTAAAATCTTGCTTTCTATGTGGTACAAAACATTTTGTACAAGACAATGCGTCATTCCTGGTTCTTATTAAAGGAGTGACTGAAGGTCATAAAGGTCAAGTTTAGATAATCAGTCAACAACAACAGAACTCCATCCATCAATAGAAACGTGATTGTTACTGGTTTAAGGACAGAATAGCCCTAAAGTACTATTCTTTAAAGCCCTACATGTAAAGAATAGTACAAGTTATTTGAATATGTCAACTTGAACTTTAGATGAAATTATAACCGCCCCCAACACGTGCACACATTTTAAAATATTGTAATTTAAGGATTACTTGACAAAGTGGCATATTGTATCAAGCCAATCCCTGAGGCCTACATCATGCATTTCCCTCCTTCATTTTTGTTTCCTATGTTGGCACAAGACTGACTTTTCTCATCAATAAGTTTACTGCATGTCTGAAGTGTGGGAGAAGGACCAGAAGTGACCTGACAAATCCAGGCGAGGGCTAAGTTTGCAGCCAGTGTTTAAGCCTGTCTGCAAACTTTCCTTATAGGCCTAAATGTAAATGTCAGAATTGTTTTGCCTTTTGATGAACAAACCTGATTGCAAAGCACCTTTCACTGGAGACTGAGATTAACGAGCAGCAGCTGCCCCGTTGGTGCCCATGCAGTTGTCCTCAGGGCACCATGTTCTGAGATGAGACCGCATTGCTGCTTCGGGACTCAACACCCACCTCCCACCATCAGCCTCCTCAACTCCCCCCCCCCCCCCCCTCCATCATGAAAACACGCACAACCACGCCTCCAGAGGCACGCGCACAGGCGCAGGCTCAGACACACCTCCTCCTTCCTCTTCATCTCACACAAACGCGCATACCAAAAAGACACAAGCGAGCGTGTGAGCGTTGCTGGGTGAAGTAGGAAACATGTAAGACGGAATGAAGGACGGATGGACTCCGGCAGGATCACGGCAGGTGCGGTAACGGGTGAAGCTGCTCAGGAACGGGGCTGTCGCTTCATCATGTCCACCGCAGCGGATTCACTCACTGACGAGACGGTAAGGCCCCCCCACTCATTCACTCTCCGAAATCTGACATTTCCAAACTAAGTCGAACTAATTTTTCCCTTCTCTGTCCTTATTTGAACCCGCTGTCGCTTTCTCCCTTTTTAACCGCAAATGATGTCATTCAGCGCTCAAAGGCGTCAGGTCAGCCATACAGGATGGAGGGCCGCTCGTGCCGCAGCACCAAAACAAAAAAGGGGTGCACAACTGTGTTAGTGCAAGAATTTTTGTATCACTTCCAGGCTTAATGCGTCGCCTCGGTTTGGCCCCATGGGGAGGCGAATCTGCATTATGTTTGTTATTGTCTGGAAAACCTCGTATAGCCTAGAAGCTGAAATATGCTCCCTGTCGAAGTTGTTTAAGGAAAAATTGGCAAACAAATTAATGTAGGCTAAGCCTTATTGATGTTAGAGTTTTTCAAGAAAAAAGATCTTATAATAGAGGCTTAATATACCCTATAGCCTTGCACACAAATATATAGCCTTAATCTCTGTAATTATGCTTCTAACACTGGGTACGTTCTTTGATAAGTTCAGCATCACTTGTTTGCCCAGAGCAGAGAACATTAAAGCCATTCATATTGATTATGAGGCCCATGTTTTTTTAGACTAAAATTGTGCCCTGTGTGTGCAACTCCAGGAGTGTTTCATGGTTTCTTTGCTGTAGCCATGGAGACTGTACATGGCATGTGGTCTTTTACTTGTGCTAGAAAGTGCAGTTCCCCTATTGAAGAGCAGCCTCTGACCATGAAGATGAACAGAGGAAGGAATGTGTAGTTAGGTTTTTCAAACATCTTTTCTGTCTACTTATTTTTTTTTAAAAGCTGTTTTATTTTCCATCTTAAATCAATGCAACAAACGCTTTCATGCAGAAAAAGCTCAATAGGGACCTATTGTAGATCTAACAAACTAATTCTGATATTTGTCGACCTCTTGATGCATTTATGTACTATAGCATTCCTATAGGGTCTTTTATGGCTTTGTAAGGCTTAATGTTTAACAATATCAACGCAAACCCTTTTATACAACTATAGTGGGAGCTATTTTTCATATCCTGTAATAAATCTGGGTAGCTGTGAAATGGATAGGCGTTGAACTGAATTAAGCCTATTTATTTGTATTGAATTATGTAGTAACGTTTTTGCCTATTTCCCAGACATGCAGTAAACAAGTAAAGCTGAAACTGGGCATGGAAAGGCATTATCATAAAAACAAACAACAACAGTGAATTAGTATTTATTTGCAATGTTTTTTATCAACTGATAACCAAAAAATGCAAATCCAGGAATATAGAAGGCTTTTTAATACAACAAGAAAACTATTAAAAATCATCTTTAGTGCTGTTTTGACTGTCAAGGTTGAACGTGTGTGAACCAAAGTGATATTTAGGTGTGCTGTGGAGACATGACAGAGAGACGGCTGGTCAGTCCTCTCTCTTCACGGTGAACAGATGGTAACTCAGGGTTAGCTTGTGGTCGGGTGCCAACAAGAAAGCCCATGTGTTTATGACACATAAATCCATTGTTGAAAAGGAATTGTTCTGGTCATGATATTTATTTATTTTTATTATTTTTTATAATTTGAAGTCCTAAAAAATAGTTCTGCTATCGATACGCATAGATTGAATTAAATGTAAATATATCAAACACTTAATACCTGATTTGTTTTATTATAAAAACAAAGACACATAAGCTCAAACCTACTTTTAAAACAACATTTGCTTCTTGAGTAAGATCTATAGGTTAAAGGATTTCCTGGCAAATAAGACATGCTGGAGTAATGCAATAAAATTACTTCTTACTAAGATTATATCATCAATTTTTTTGTTTTTTTCAGCCTTTTTGTTTCCCTACCAGCAAACAGGCATTATGCCAAGCAAATGTATATTGCATTTTTAATGGAAAACCCCTATATAGATATCTGTGAAACCTAATTTAAGTCTTGATTTTGTAAGAATATCTCCTCAAATATGCTGAAGTTACTCAAATTAACTGAGGATTTTAATATGATTGGTTTTAACACAGCTCAGGTCTAAATTTTTATTCTAACAGTTTGGTTGAAATCAATTTGTTAAAAAAAGAGGAACTACATCATTTGGATATATCTTGACAATCATTACAGGTTTCTGCAATCAATGTAATCAAGTCGTTGAACAGATTTATTTACATTTGCTTAATGCTAGACTAGAGTATATTATATAATATATATCTTTTATTGCTGCCAGGGGAAATTTGCCTTGGGCAGTTGTGTAAAAGTAATGTTTAGCTAAGTGCAACTCAGTGTACCATTAAAAACAAACCTAACACAAAAGACTAACAACAATACGAACAAATCAAGTGGAGCATAACATACCAGATACAAATAATAAGGTTCTTTAACAATAAACATTTTACTATTATAATGTATAAACATAATATTTATGGAGATTTATTTCACAGACCAGTCAAATTTAAAGGGATCTTTTTGTCTCCCGCTCTCAGTCAACATTTGTCATACATCTCTACATTGCACTGATTTCTATTTGTTTCATTTATCTCTTTTCACAGGTTGCGTTGATCTTGAATAACACTGAATGGAGAAGAGGGATGTTCCTTTAAGATGACACGAACACATCCCCCTGATATACTTGCATCGACTCTATATCAGGACTTTACTTTAAATCCCCTAACTGACCACTCAGTTTCTCTCCAGTCCTCTCAGCAATGTGACTTAAAAATGATTGACAAACCGGAAATCATTAACAAAAGACACTGCCGCAGCTTTGACTTCATCGAGTCACTGGATGACCCCCAGTCTTTCTCTTCAACAATGGAGTACCCTTACAAGAGGGCTGAGCATCAGACATTGAACAAAGATCTAATGTGGAATGGCCTAGATCAATCTGGGCACCTGCGCTTTTCATCTCCTGATCTGTTCAACACCAGGCAGTTCCAGCAGCAGCCTGGCCAGGACAAAACTAGCCATCTAACGTGGTCAGATTCTAAAAAGAGAACAAGATCTAAAAGTGCTCCAAGAATCAAGGCCACCCTCACTCCCGTGCCCATCTCAGTGTCCCCTCCAGGGGTCGGGAAGGGGAGGGATGCACCCCAGGCTGCGTCAGATACCATGAGGACTTCTGAAACACATCGAGAGTCGTACTCATCCAACAGGGCTTTTTTGAATGATGTGCATCCTTCCAAACTGCAACACCATACTCCTCTCTATGTCTCGGACTGTTTTGAGGAGGATAAACCAGATAAACCAGCCACAACCCCTCATGTCAGGTGCCGTGTGGACATTAAACCAGATGCTGCTGTTCTGCAGCACACATCAAGGCAGGTTCCCAATGTGCGGACTGACCATCTTTGGCAAAGATACTCCCAGGCCAGCAGTAGAGGATTATATGTACCACGACAGATTGTCTCCTCACCAACTCCCACTCCGAGTGAATGCTACAGTGGAGACTATAGACAAGGATACCACTATACCACCAGCATGTCTCCAATCTCTTACCAGCATCTAGACATGCACAGAATGCCGTCACCAACTGCACCATTTCTCAGTCAAGAACAAAGAGCTTACTCAAATCCAAATATACCAACCAAGTTTTTCTATACAGAGGACCCTGTGCGATATTCAGTTCATCCCTACTCTAGAGCATACTACCAGGATGATCGGTCTAGTCTTACCAGCCATGGTAGTACAATAACTGGTCAGTATGATCCAAGGACTCGCTGGGTGCACACCCTTCCTGTCAGGTCGTATTACACAGACCAACTTTCCAACAGAGACTCTGTATATAGTAGGCCTTACTCCACAAGTGAGGCAGGATCATACTTTTCTCAAGCTCCACTATCTAGATCTTACTATGGAGATGATAGCCGGTTTAATCCATACCATTCCATGAGTAGTTCCAGGTTGTTCTATCCTAAAACATACAGTTCCCCTGAGGAGCAGTACTTTCCAAGGCCATGCCAAACAGAGGGTCGCCGTCGCCCTCGTATGTCCCAGGCCTTTTCTGACGACTGGTATCGCTCAAGCATATCTGGTTACTCTAACCAGTCCTCTCAGATAACACCTCCAAGAATTGGGCGAGACCCCAGTATACCCCCTTGGTTTACTAACAGCTGTTTGGAGAACAGCAGACTAGGATCAGAGGTCAGAAACCACTCGAAGTCATGGGACAATATTCTATATCCCAGGCATGACAGAGAGCAATCAGTGCCTCGTGGACGAAGCTATGAGAATCTGTTTTACCAAGCAAGGCATGGAGCATCCTCCGATGTCACATCTCAACCTGTTATTCTTAATCTCTCAAGTTCACCAAGGCGCTATGCCGCCCTTTCGCTCTCTGAAAACTCCTTAGAGAAAAGCTCAAACAATCCCTGGAGAAATACCAAGAGTGGGCACTGGTTTGTTACTCCTGAGATCACCATTACTGATAATGACCTGAGTGCGGGTAAGAACAAGCGGCGTGATGTGCACTCTGTCAGCTGGGATACGTTGGAGAGTGAAAAGACACCTCCTCCTAGAGTAATGCCTGAGAAGCAGCCATCTAACACAGTAGAAGTTACCAAAGACAGGAAACACAACAATTTCTCCCTTCAGCAGAGTCTAGAGCAACTAGACGAACTCTTAGCTGATTTGGTCATTGATTACAAACCACCAACTCGCAGAAAGTCAAGTGAAGACCTTTTAGACCAGCTTAAACAATTAATCTCTGAAGACGATGACAAAGACAGAGGATCCTCTGGACTTGAAAACTTAGGGAGTCCAAACACACCACTCCCATCCTCTAAATCCAGCCCTGACACATTCAAAGACCCTGATAGTGGATGTGATGCTTTACAAAGGAGTGCAGAAGAATGCTCCCCTGACCACAGTACAGATGAAGATGACACTATGGTGTGTGCTAACAACAAGTGCAACCGGACTGAGAATATGTTCAATGCCTGCTTGTACTACAAATCCTGTCACAGTTGCTACACCTTCTACTGCTCACGAAACTGCCGTAGGGACGACTGGGAGACCCATAAAGAGACTTGTGTGTACGGGCGTGTCAACAGTGTGTGTCGACATTCACTCAAGTTCTGCAGGGAGAATTCAGAGATCCACAAAGCCTTCTCTCGGGTTGCTAAAGCTGGCTACCTCTCCAGAGGTAGAGGTGTTCTCTTTCTGGGATTTGCTAATCCAGAGACAGCTGACAACTTCCTGCATGTAGGGCTTGAGAGCCTACTCATGTCTCCCACGTACCTATCTCTCAGAGAACTAGATGGCTTCAAGGACAACCTTGGTGAATACTGCAAAGAACTACAGTTGGCAGGCAATGAGTATGACCCCAATGAATGTTTTCTTCTGAATGTATCTGTAGCTGTTGGTGAACTAGTGCCTAATAGACCTTCACCAAGGGTCCAAGCACCAACAGTTCGCAAATATGCAAAGGTGTCCTTGGCATCCTCAAGCCCTGACAAAAAGGTGCTCAAAAAGGACAGTGAAATGGAGACTCTCATCCTAACTCCACCTCCAGGCACACCAGACATCGACAAGGAGGGCGAGGAGGGAAGAAAAGCAAGGGAGGTTTGCTTTGTCAATATCCAGCGTGAGCTCAGGACCAGGGGAGTGTTCCTCCGTCACGAGTACCCGATAATCTATAATCAGCTGTGTGCGTTTGTTGAGACTAACAAAAGGTTCACTCCGACTACGATTTACCCAATAGATAAGAGAACAGGGAAACAGTTTATGTGCATGATCATGGCTGCTTCAGAGCCAAGAACACTGGACTGGGTGGGCACCCCTCATCTCTTGGATGATATTATATAGTAGAGCACTAATCAGTGATGATGATGATGATGATGATGATGTCAGCTACATTAAATGTACATAATGTATATACATGGTGTGGTTTAGCAAACTTGAAAAGTGATATGGAATTATGTTGAAATATGTGACCAATTTATTTATTTCTGTCTTTCTTTCTTTCTTTGTCTTTCCTTCTCTCTGTCTTTCTTTCTTTCTTTCTTTCTTTCTTTCTTTCTTTCTTTCTTTCTTTCTTTCTAATATTTCGCGGTAGCTTATTCTGATCCTGTTGCACTCAGAAGAGCAAATAGCCTGCATGTGGACTAGGCACAAACCCCATCCAGGTGATTTAAATGTGGACATATATGATCTATTCAGTTTCTGCAAACAATGTTTGAAGCACACAATATTTATGAAGAAAACATCTCATTGCAGACACAGAATGATCACAGGCACAGCCAAGACAACCATCATTGATTTTCTAAAAGATGTTATACCAGAGATTTTTATTATACCATGTTGCGGTGGTTGTAATATTACATACTGTTTATAAGTATTATTTCCCAAGCAAACTGTAGTTGTGTGGATATATTTTTAATTGTGTATATATATATAAGTTATTGTTTGATAGATGAAGAGATTCAATCAAAACACCTTTTTGTTTTCCCAATTCATAAAAATGTAAGTTCAAACTATATCATCATAAGACTTTGATGTCATTCTTGTGTAGAATGCTTTGTTTGATAGTGGCCTTCAGTCGAAAAAAAAATGCATTTGACACAAAGTAATGTAGATGTTGAGCTTATTCTAAAGCATTGAGAGCTCTGGACTTCGGCTGTTTGAAATACCATTGTAAATGAACTATTATTTTGCTCAAAGCATGTTATTAAATTCAGGTATTTTAATATTGATATTGCTTAAAATTACATTTATTATGTTTATGAATTTGATGCTTAGAAATGTAAGAGGTATATATATTGAATATAAGATAATTTGAAAATCATGAGACCTTATTGTAACTATAGTACTACATTATGTTCTTAAACAATATGCAATAAAAGAGCAACCTTACCATATATATTCTAAAAACCTATTTTATTATTATATTGAATAATCCCTTGGAGCCAAGAGCTGCAAAGACTTTGTTTGCACTAAAACTTAAATTATAAATGAGAATGTTCTTAACACAGCTGCAGAACTGAACACAGATATGATGATATGAATATATGCTTGCTTCTATTGCCTATGTAAACTAATCTAAGATTGCTCTTTTACTTGATGGTATATATCTTTGTGCAAGACCTTCCACGACTTTCTATTTTGTGATGTTTATAACCCATATAAAATATATAATAAATGGAATTTAAAGAGTGACCTCGTGGTTTTGCATTTCTCTTCCAGATTACTGGCATTTGATGTAATTATAGTGAAGGAGTGCCGTCAATAAGAGTAATACATCCTGATAAGCATTTGCAGACATCCATATTTTCCAGTTTCCTTGGATATTTAAGATGTCAAAAATTGTTTCCTAGCATGCATGCAACAGGAAAACTTAATCCACTCCCTCAAAATATTTTCTTTAAAACATTTTAAACATGTAAAAAATTATAGAATAACTACTTTGCTTCAAAGTGCAAAACTGCAAGCAGAGAAATCTTAAAAGCACTATTATTTTATGATGATCTAACTGATGTCATAGTATTGACACTTTGCGTTAATACTTGAGTGCCTGGCATGGAAACATCTCTTTGGAATAAATAAGTAGGCTTTTATTTCTGTTAACAGATCTCATTTTTTCCAGGAAACTTGATTTACGGCGAATGAGGTGTAGAGCAAAGAGAAACAATGCTGGAAAAGCAACATACATTTGAAGAGGTTTATTCACTCTGACTCTGTTGCTCAAATTATTAGTTGCTGCTTGATCATATCTCCAAAACCCATGTTCTCCCCCCATATCCTGACTTAGTGTTAATTCTTTTAAGGGAGTGGTTTTAGTTGTAAAACTTCCCCAATCATTGAAAAATAAAGTAAATTCAATTAATGAGCTTTAATCGCCAACTAGTGTTCCTGTTTCAGGATTGTCACTCAAGACTTTAATGTTGTATGTGTTGGATCACCACCTAGTGGTATTATTCAAGTGTTACATTTATTGTGTATGCAGTACTGTAGCAATACTCCACAACTAAATAGGGACACACAAAGACAGACACACACACACACACATTATACTATAACAAAGTTATTTTTATTCATGATGCTGCCATTATTGAGAATACAAAGGCACACAAAAATGCAACAATTTATGGTGTCAACATTTCTCGTGAAAAAGAATGGAAAAGAGAAGATGAGAAATTAGAGAAACACAGAAAAAAAATGTTTGGCTGAATTCACTTACCCCCCTTGGGCTGACAACCTATCCCAACAATGTGTTGACTGACTGTGATTATTGATGTTCAGATGACGACATTTTTATGATGTTGGGCTAGTGTTGCAGTCAAGACCACACAAACCGAGACCAAGACATATCCGAGACCAGAGTGCTCCAAGACTGAGACAAGACCAAGACCATGGAGCAATTCCCAGCCACATTTCTTATTCTGAACTTTTTTTGCAGATCTAAAAATGTATTTATCAACATATGATAAAGACAATGTTTTCACAACTGTTGAGTGAAAAAGAAACTTGGCATAGTTATTGGGGGACAAATGAGGAACGACTGAGGCACTAACTAATAGTTTACCATTAGATTATCATTTACTAATGGTTATTGGGGAGATAGATCATTCTGTCATGTGAGCTGGCACTGTGGCCTCGCAGCGAGACAGTCCCTTGTCAGATTCCAACATTGTCCATACATTTCCATACAAATATCACCCACATAACACTCTGTAAAACACGCTGTAAAAAAATGTTTGTGCTCCTCTGTTTACCAACACTGGAAACCTCTGAGAAAGTCCCTTGGTATAAGGTGCATGGCCTGAACCCAAAGATGACACCTGCTAGAGCAATTTGTGCCTCACACCTTTTTGGAGACATGTAGAGACAGGCCTGTGCAAAGAGAGAACAGTGCAGGGATAGGCCCATGCAGTGGGATTACATTGCACTGACAGGCCTATGTAGAGACAGGGCTGTGCAAAAAGAGTGCATTGCAATGATAGGCCTAGGCAGGGATATGCCTATGCAGTGAAATTACAGTGCACTGGCAGGCATGTCTGTTATGTATTTTGGCCTACTTTGACCTTCATAGAAGAGTCGTGCATTGAATGTTGGGACTGGGGCTATGTTACCTTGTTACTAAGAGTAATGCCACTGTTACACCATGCTATTGTAGTTATCCAATAAATGGTAACACGTGCAGTCAGAGTACGACTATTAATTGTTATACAGGCAACCAGACACGGTTGGGATATAACAATGTGCAGTAACAGACCTGCGCAGTGAGAGCACATTTCAGGGATAGGCCTATACAGTGACTGACATTTGCAGACAAAACGCAATGCAGTGACAGGTCTTAACAGTGACAGCCACTTGCTGTGACAGGCATGTGCAACTGCAGTGCAGTGCAGTGCAGAAGAGGGAAGTAGTGCACTAAAAGGAATGGGCGGTAGGGCACAATGCAGTGTCAGGCCTGTGCACTGAGAGGCATGTGCAGCAGGAGGCATTTGCAGTGACAGGCCTGTGCAACTTAAGTGCAGTGCATTGACATGCCTGGACTGTGCAGTGAGAGGCTGGTAAAGTGACATGCCTGTGGGCTACATTATGGTCTTAGGCAATGGTCTGATGTCACTTTCTGACATTAGGTCAATGTTATTCCCTGACTATAGGCTGACATCATGTTATGACGTTCGGCTGAAGTCATCTCAACATTGGGTTGACACCCTATTTCAACATTGTGTTGATTTTAAATAATGACGTTGGCCCAGTGTATTGACAGGCCTATGTAGACACATGCCAGTACAGAGAGAGTGCAGTGCAGGGATATGTCTATGCTGTGAGAGTACAGTGCACTAACAGGCTTATGTATAGACAGGTCTTTGAAGAGAGAGTGCATTGCAGGGATAGGCCTTTTCAGGGATAGGCCTATGCAGTGACTGACATGTGCAGAGAAAACGCTGTACATTGACAGCCCTGTGCAACCACAACACAGTGCAGGAATAGGCCTGTGAAGTAGCATGTTTATGTAGTGAGAGTGTAGTGCAGTGATAGGCCTGTGCAGTTACAGGCCTGTTTGCTGAGAGCACAGTGCAGTAAAAGGACTATGCAGTGTTAGGCATGTGCAGTGTTAGGCATGTGCAGCAAGAGGCCTGTGCAGTGACAGGCATGTGCATCCACAGTGCAGTGCAGCCAAGCCATGTGAGGTAGCTCCTTCTTTCAAAGGTAGAGTATTTCTGGGGAGAGGGCTAGCTGTGCAGTTAGAGTGCTGTGCAAAGACATGCCTGTGCATTGAAAGCATAATGCAGTGAGAGTCCTCTGCATTGACAGACCTGTGCAGTAGGAGACCTGTGCATTGAGAGCACATTTCAAGGATAGGCCTGTTCATGGAAAGGCCTATGCAGTAACTGACCTGTGCAGAGAAATCACTGTGCAGTAACTGACCTGTGCAGTGACAGCCCACTGCAGTGCCTGTCCAGTCATAGGGATGTTGAGCGAGAGGACTGACCAGCCACAGGCCTGTCCAGTCATAGGACTGACCAACCACGGGCCTGTCCAGCAAGAAGCCTGACCAGTCGGATATTTGGACAGACTTAAATTGCAAAATAAAATGTTATAAAAAGAAAGAAAAGTTTCCATTTTTCAGTAATATTCAAAAATATAAAGATGGCAGTGTCGGCAAGTCAAATCAAAGTCAAAGCACGTTTAAAAACAATTTACAGGTGATCATAGCATCCACGAAAAAACACAAAAGAAAATATGATCTGAATAGATGAATATATAGAAGAGATAATGAAAGCAACAATTGCAACCTGAAAGAACCCTCTATTCAGGACCAGAAGACTTAATATGAGATGAGATGAGATTCAACTTTATTGTCATTACACATATACAAGTATAGAGTAACGAAATGAGGTTTGGCATCTCACCAGAAGTGCAAATAAGCAGAAAGTGCAAAAGTCTGTGCTATGTACAGTAATTGAGTGCAAGAGTCTGTGCTATGTACAGTAATTCTGTGCTATGTACAGTAATTGCAAAATTTACAGATGTAGACAAAGAAAGTGAATTATTTGGTAAATCTGGATGGCTGGATTAATGGGATGCAATAAATATAAATAAATGCTATAAATAAGTAATGCTACAAAATAAGTGTGTTCTTAGGATTATAATATACAGATTAAGATGCAGTGAGCATGCTATACTAATAATATACAGATTAAGGTGCAGTGAGCATGCTATACTAATAATATACAGAATAAGATGCAGTGAGCATGCTATACTAATAATATACAGATTAAGATGCAGTGAGCATGCTATACTAATAATATACAGATTAAGATGCAGTGAGCATGCTATACTAATAATATACAGATTAAGATGCAGATGCTATAAGATTAAGATGCAGTGAGCATTCTATACAAGTTTACAGATAATTTAAAGAATATGAACATACTATAATACAATAATACAGATGGATGAGAGATGTGTGTGTGTGACCATGAGGAGTGGTGGGGGGATGATGGGTGTGAGGTGATATGGAGGGAAAGGGGGTCAGCAGGGTGCGGAGAGAGAGAGGGAGAGAGAGAGAGAGACAGAGTTCAGAGTTCGGGGTGTGAGGTGATATGGAGGGGAGAGGGGGGTCAGCAGGGTGCGGAGAGAGAGTGGGAGAGAGAGAGAGAGACAGAGTTCAGAGTTCGGGGGGTAGAGTTCAGTAGAGAAACAGCTCTGGGGAAAAAGCTGTTCCTCAGTCTGCTTGTTCTGGTCCGGAGGCTTCTGAAGCGCCTGCCGGAGGGCAGGAGGGTAAACAGTCTGTGGGCAGGGTGGGAGGAGTCTTTAAGGATGCCATGAGCTCGCCGCAGACAGCGTGTTCTTTGGACATCCTCAATGGCAGGAAGTGGACACCTTGTGATGCGCTGGGCGGTTTTTACCACCCGCTGTAGCGCCTTACGGTCTGTGACAGAGCAGTTTCCGTACCAGACTGAGACACTGCTGGTCAGGATGCTCTCGCTCACACAGCGGTAGAAGTTCATCAGTACAGCTGAAGACAGGTGGTGTCTCTTCAGTGTCCTCAGGAAAAAGAGGCGTTGATGAGCCTTCTTAACCAGACTGGAGGTGTTAGTGGACCAGGAGAGGTCCTCTGTGATGTGGGTCCCCAGGAACTTGAAGCTGGAGACACGTTCAACAGCCATCCCGTTGATGTGAATGGGGTTGTGCGTGCTTCC